CTTTGATACCAATGCTTGAACTCTATTGAAAATATCTCTTGCTTGTTCATTATTTGATTTAAATTTCTTATCAGACATTTTTCAAATAAAAAAATTTCATCAAATTAAAATAGTGTTGTTTAGAATGAAACAAACAAATTTATTTAAATTTTATTAAAAATATTTAATTAATTATATTTAAATCCAGAAAAAAAAGATTGTTTTACCAAATAGCATTACTTAAGAAATTAATCAAAAGTTATGAACTTTTAATGATGACTGGTTAACTTCTTTACAAATATTTATAAAAATAATTATAAATTATAAATTAAAGTTTATTAAAAAAAATTGTTCAAAAAAAACGTTTAAGGTAATTAATACAAAATAAAACTAATATAATTGTTGTACCGCTATATTAATATTTTAAAATATCCATCAAATTTATCAATTAAAAATTTTTATTAACCTTAAACTTTTAATAAATAATAACAGTCAATAATTTAATAATCTAATTAAGATAAAGGGTTTATTTATATTGCATTAATTAGATAGTGATATATTTTAGAGTACCTTAATAATATAAAAGATTTATAAAAACTTTGTATTAGTGTATTTTCTAAACTAAAAATGATTTAAAATTATAACAATGAATTTTATAACAGTACATTGATCTCTTTGTTTATTAGTATTTTAAAAATAATAAATATAACTTTTATAAAAAATTTAATTGCTTTAAAACTTATTTAATGATGTTTTTAAATTAAACAAGATGTAAATTTTTCTTTTAAAAATAAATAAGTATAATTTTTGATAATTTTTTAATATTAATTAATTTTGTAAAAGTGTTTTTATTTAACTTTATAAATGAAAATTTATTATTAAATTTTTTATTTACATGTTTTTTTATCTATTTTCTATGAATTTTTTAAATCTGAAATTTCCCCACGGGGAAAATTTCAGACTTGATCCAAATTTTCTTGTGAACTGTTATTTTTTTAATTTTCTTTTTATAGATTCAAATCAGTTTTCACAAATAATATTATTAATTTATAACATTATTTTTATTGGTTTAAAGAACATAAGAATTTTTTTATATAACTTCTTTAATCATTGTTTTTGGCATACTTTTCACTTATACCCCTTTCAGCTATTATTTCTAACCCTTGTTATTCAAAATTTTCCTTTTTGGATGTCAAATAATTTTTAATTCTATTTAATTTATCTGATTATCTAAGAATAATCAATAAATAAGTTTAAAAGAAACATTTATCAACCAAAATACAATTATTATAAATGATAAATCTCTTAGATTTAGATTCTTACTTATTTTATTTAGTTATTTATAAAACATTTTTCATGATAATTTATTAATATTTTCTTTTACTTACCTAAAACTTCTTTTGTTTCAAATACAAATCCATCATTTTTATGATAAACTACTGATTGTTATAATGTTTAAATCATGTATTTTTATTACACAAAATGATTAAATTTGTTTGTTAAAATTAAACATATTTTAAACTTTTATACTTTTTCTATTTAAAAATTTTTCATTTTTTAACCCATGATTAACTTATTGTTTTTAATTAGCAATAGAATATTAAGAAGCTGTTTAACAAAGTTATTTTATGTAAATTGTGTTGATTTAAACAATTCTATTGTTTTAATTACAAATTTAAATACGTCGGAAGA